CAGAACCTATCTAGCACCCCTCATGTGTAATCAGGCCTCCAAATTTCATGGAATGTTCGTTGGAATACCAAGAGAACACCTGATGTCTTGAATCCTACATCCCCTGGAATCTAATGATGACGAAGCTCATGATAATCAACCGAATTCCTCTCCAAACTTGAAACCACTTCTCCACGGAGCTTAGCAGAACCCCGAGGCTGAAGACACCTAGGGCTCACCTTCGCATCTCAACCCGCGAACGAGCGAGCCAATAGCCAGATCTTTCCTCTGTACCTCCCCGTTCTCGTCAAAATTTGAGGTACATGACTATTTCCCATCTAGGTGATACCCCCAAGATCTCAACCTTCCACGACTTCCATCGCAGAAATTACTTTCTATCAGGATCCCAGCAAGTCTGGCATCTGCAATAAAGACAGCAAAGCGAGCCGACAGTCTCATCTATCATCTTGACCGCGCCATCGCTATCGCAATAGAATCCTATCCTAGCGCAGCTTTCGGTTGTGCTGGTGGGGATTGATGAGCAGTCGAGGTCATATCGTTTGATCAGTGCCGGCCCTGGGGCGACTTCAGTCATGGGCGAGGAGGCCAGAGTGCTGGTTGCCAGAAGGGTGAGGGTCGGGGCGAGGGTGATGAGCTGATGTATAGGGGATTGGTTAGTCAAGCGCGTTGATTTCGTGATTAGAGTCGGGACATACGTTCATGGTTGCTGATGTGCCGATTTCTGACAGGCAAGTGTTGCCAATAGAGATGATGTGCGGTAGGATTGTTGTTAATCCGGCAGATGGTCTGGGTACCTATTCAAGGGAGTATTGATACCTCCCTTCGAATACCCCAACACCAGAAGTAATGTCTCAGTTGGTGTCTTGCATGATCTGACAAGACTTTATTAGAGATACACATGTTCTCCACAACTGCAGCTTTAAGAACCTTCATATTTGGTTTGAGCCATGTCTTGATCAGTTTGTGCCCCGGGGTTCTGGAGAGTATTGGTGTTGAGCACGATACCTACCAACCTACATATCCAGCGAACTGGTTTTCAAGATACCTTATCTAAAGGATCTTGCCGAAATGGTGTCTCAAGTCATCAGTTGGGCGCATTGTAACTCATGAATGGCCGAGTTAAGAAGCCATTGGCTGTCGATAGGTAACTGGAAGGTGTGAAGAATGAAGCGGTGTCGACCTGTTCATGGGTAGTTACCTCGACTCAAAAAACCTGGGAGTAATTTCAGATATTCTGTCTCTCATGGCGAGATTGAAACCAAAAATTACAATCAGAAGGTTATCATTCAATGCAAACAGCTTTAAGTCATTACAATGCTATGTGTGGTTGTTCCTGAAAAGAAGGGTTAGGGTTCACCGTGCTCAACAGCGATGACGTATCTCTCTGTGCTCACTAGTCACAAAGCCGCGAACGCCAACACCTAGCTCTACCCAACAGCGCAACGTGGTCCATGACCTGTCGTCTTGTTTCCATCAAAGTGCATACCATAAAATGCGCCCTGCTCTTATTTCTGTCGTTGCTCTGAGTGCCGCCGTTTCCTGTCAACTTGTAGTACCCCTCTTTCAGCAAAGAGCGGATGCAGCCCCGCCGTCACAGCGAACTCTCAACCACAATCAAAAGATCATGGACCCCAACAACGGCCCCGGTCCGGCGTTGCCTCCGGACTCCGGAGTTCCGTCGAGGACTGACCCACCTCCGCACTCTGGCGGCGGTGGTGTTATCCTTTCGGATGTGATCGGCCGGGATAGGTCTGTCAACTTATTTGCAGGGTATAGTCACCTCAGCATCTTTCTAGTCCGATAAGATTCACTAACATATCGTGGTATAGCTTCATCAGAAATATTGAATCCACCTCTGTTCGGCTTGATGACCCGTCAAAAAACACAACGGTGCTCGCGCCGCTCAACTCTGCGGTGGAGGGCTTACCTCGTAAACCATGGGAAGATCCCAGAGAGTACGGTGCCCTTGGGCCCAATGCTTATGAAGGAGGTGATGGCCATGAGAGGGCACAGAAGAACATTCAGCGGTTTGTGGAGGCTCACCTTATCCCGGTTGGTATCTGGTCCAAGGGCCAGAAGGTGAAGACTCTGCTTGGGGATAGGGAGGTGTGGTGGGAAGAAAAGGAAGACGGGACCCGTGTGGTGCAGCCGGGGGATATTGAGGTTGTTGAGGTTTCGAGCTCTGTTGCGAATGGTGAGGTGTGGATTTTGAAGAAGGTTCGGAATTATGCCTGAAGGGGGGTTTTGGGAACGTGTTTGTATAGATGTTGGTTTTACACAAGCCATCGTTTGATGTCGTCTATGACAGGATAGAATGTTGGCTGAATCGGAGCTCCTGATGTAAGGAAATATATTCTCTGTATACCTGAATGATACATATCCTCACCAGAGACGCCTCCACATCTGATGGGCTGGCAGACGGGGCGTACCTTGCATTAGACTTGCTGTCACGTGCAGGGCATATCGTCATCCCCCTTATCCGAGGCCGGTGTTTTCCCGGAGTTGTTGGGCGTTATCGATAAGAATGCGACGGAACTTGCCATCCATTCATTCTGCACAGTAGTGGCTAGCAACGCCTCCTTTCTACACTGGCGAAAACACAGCTGTCTCAGACCAGAAGCCCTTGTCTTGGTAGATGACTTCTTGTGGAAGGCCCATATGATCGCAGTGATAGCTGTAAGCTGCCCTGTACGCCCCCGTCCGGTGCTTTTATTGATGATCTAAACCTTTGCATAGAGGCTTCGCGCAGCCGTCCACGATGAATAGCCAGCCCCTGCACCCAGGCCCCGGAGCCGCCTTTGACCGCGAGCGCGACATGGAGGAGCAACGCCATCGTGCCCTCCAACAGGACGAGATTGCCCGACGGGACCGAGAAAGAGAGCGCGACCGTGACCGTGACCGCGACCGTGATCGTGACGACGCTGAGCGCCAGCACCGCGAACCCTACCAGCCCGCTGCCCCTCATCACAGCAGTGCCGGCTCCCTCCCTATCCACCAACCCGTCGCATCCAGAATATCAAACTCCATCACCGGCCCTGGAGGCTTGCTGGCAAACCACAATAATCCTGCCCCCGCTCTGCCAGTTGGTGGACCTCCCGGCCCTGCGCCTAGCTTTGGTGGAGCGCTTCACTCTGCCGAGGCCGGTCGCCCCCCTCAGCATGGCGCCCCCGGAGCTGCCCCAGCCCCTCAGCACCAGATGTTTGGACCTATGGTACATGGACCAAATGGTCCTCCTCCCAACTCCTTGGGTGGTGCCGGTGGAGGGCCGGGACCAGCTGCCATCTTCGGCGGGCCGTTGCAGCAGCAGCAGCAGGAGAATGGGCGGGCGCTGGCGCAAGAAGGGGCCCGCAGCATGCAGCAGCTCCCCTTTGGCCCCGGCGTAAATCCTCCTCATGGCATGACTCCTGGCTCAAATAACATGGGCCAAGGGCAGCAGCCGATCTTGAACGTAGGTGACCTTGCGGTGGTGATGTTGAAACGTTGGCGCTGACTGTGACATCACGGAATAGGATGCGTTGAGCTATCTTGATCAGGTGAAGGTTCAGTTCTCCGAACAGCCCGATGTGTACAACAAATTCTTGGACATTATGAAGGACTTCAAGAGTCAAACGTGGGTGCTCTCTGTTGCGATCTGATTGGTGATGCGAAGAGCAGGTTGACTAACGTGGAGCAGAATCGACACGCCGGGCGTGATCAATAGGGTGTCCGAGCTTTTCGCTGGCCATCCGACGTTAATCCAAGGGTTCAACACCTTCCTCCCTCCTGGCTATCGCATCGAGTGCGGCCTGGAGAACAACCCCAATAGCATCCGCGTGACCACCCCATCCGGGTCCATGATTCACTCGATCGGAGCGCCCCGACCAGCGCAACTCGAGCCAGCACCTCCGACATCGAACCCTCCTCAAGGATACATTGGCACCGTGAGACCTGGGCCGTGGCAGCAGGTTTTGCAACACAGCGTGGAAAGTCCCGAGGCTGCCTTCAGTGTCCCGGCCCAGAACGGTCCACCAGGGTTCCCTGGCTCAAGCCAGAGCGCGTCTTTCGAAACTAGCCCGAATCAACCAAGATCAGTGCCGGCGGTTCCCAACGGTTCTGCCCTGAGCCAACCTCCAGTCCCGCGAACAGCACACACTCCAACACCTGGCGCCGGTCCACCAAGTGCAAACGGTTCTGCCGCTCAGCAGGCCAGCATGGAAAAGCGGGGACCCGTCGAGTTCAACCACGCGATCAGTTACGTGAATAAGATCAAGGTACGCGACTTTTTTCCCCCTGTTGCTCCCGTGCGTATTGTTTCCTATTCACCTCGAGTCTCAATGGGGCACCTCAATGGGGAGTCGATGGGTCAAGCAAGCACAGAGTGGATACACTTTTTTCTCTCCCTGGCACAACGCCCATTGACGCCTTCTCTTATTCAGAATCGCTTCCAGGACAAACCCGAAATCTACAAGCAATTCTTGGAGATACTCCAAACGTACCAACGCGAGCAAAAGCCCATCCAAGACGTATATTCGCAAGTCACGACGCTCTTCCACTCGGCCCCCGATCTTCTCGAAGACTTCAAACAATTTCTCCCCGAGTCGGCCGCGCAGACCCGATCCGCCGGTCAGCGACCTGACGAAACAATGCCCATGGCAATCACCACTCCCACGCCCCAGCCCGGCAGTCTCCAGCGCGACGGTCCCAAGATGCCTCCGGTTGGCAATTTTGCGCCACCGGCGAGTGCCGCGAAGGAGACCAAGAAGCGACGCGCCGAGAAACCTGCGACTGCCGCTTCTGCCTCTGTCGCGAACGAACAAGCGCAGTCATCTGCTCTCCGCGGATCGTTACCTGCCGCCACGACTGGCAACAAACGGATGAAGGTGACGCACAAGCCCAACAATGCCGATGTTGCCTTTATAGAGTCAACTTTGACTCCCACTATGCCCGAGCCTCTCCCTCCCACTCCCATCAACATTTCCCATCAAGACGAGCTTGCGTTTTTCGAGAAAGTCAAGAAGCACATTGGCAACCGAACCGCCAACACAGAATTCCTCAAGCTGATCAACATGTGGAACAACGACCTGATCGACACACCTACCTTGGTCTACAAGGCGAACCAGTTTATGGGCGGCAATCCCGAGTTGCTTGCCAGTCTGCGGGCTATCCTCAGGTACGACGACGCCACAGATGATTTCGTCGAGAACAAACCCGAGCCACCCACGGGCAAGGTTTCCCTGAGCAATTGTCGCGGCTTCGGCCCGAGCTACCGACTCCTCCCTAGAAGGGAACGGCTCAAGCCTTGCACCGGCCGCGACGAGCTCTGCCAATCGGTTCTCAATGATGAGTGGGCGTCACACCCGACCTGGGCCTCCGAAGACTCCGGTTTTGTTGCCCACAGAAAGAATGCGTACGAGGAAGGTCTCCACCGTATCGAGGAGGAGCGCCATGACTACGACTTCTTCATCGAGGCCAACCAGAAGTGCATCCAGCTCTTGGAGCCCATTGCTCACAGCATGCTCAACATGCCGGCGTCAGAAAGACACAACTTCACCATGCCTGTAGGACTCGGAGGGCAGAGTACTTCGATCTACAAGAGGGTGTTGAAGAAGATTTACGGCCCAGAGAAGGGCTGCGAAGTTGCCAACGACTTGTTCCGAAACCCCTACGCCGTTGTACCTATTGTGTTAGCGCGTTTGAAGCAGAAGGACGAGGAGTGGCGATTTACGCAAAGAGAATGGGAGAAAGTGTGGCAGAACCAGACCGAGGCTATGCACCTCAAGAGTTTGGACCACATGGGTATCCAAGTCAAGATCAGCGACAAGCGCAGCCTCTCTGCCAAACATCTCGTCGACAGTATCAAGACCAAGCACGAAGAACAACGCCGTATCCGTCTTGCAAAGGGTCAAACCGCACGATACCAGTTTCTTTACAAGCTGGAAGACCAGGGTGTTCTCCTCGATTTACTTCGCCTTATGGTGGTCTACGTCAATAGCAATGGCGGACACAGCGGCGTGGAGAAGAGAAGGATCATCGAGTTCTTCGAGAAGTTTATTCCCACCTTCTTTGACATTCCCGACGAGAAGTTCCAGGAAAGAATCAACGACATCGAGGTGGAGTCCGCGGAAGAGGATGAGGATGACGGTACTCCTTTGGAGCTCACCAATGGCCGCAGTCGTCGAAATGGCAAAAAGTCCGACCTCCTTCGCGGCGTCTTGGATCCTGGCCGCAACGGCAGTCGTAGCAGAGGGCAGAAGGAGGGCAGTGCCGCCTCGGGCAGCAAGGAGACAACACCCGACGTTGGATCTGCGAACGAGGAAGAGATGCCTGACGCCCCAGAGGATGGCTCCGTTCCTGAGGTGTCGAATGGCCGCTGGCTTCCCACGATCCCACGACCTGCCATTGTCGATAAAAGCAAGGGTGATCCAGCGAATGACCTGGTCGATGTGGACGGCGAGTTGAAGGCAGACGCTCCATTCACCCGATCGGTCTACAACTTTTACTGCAACCAGACCATCTATGTCTTCTTCACCATCTTCACGACGTTATACAAGCGATTGTTGGATGTCAAGGAGAGCAGAGCGAGCGTTTTCGAGGAGATTGAGCGTGAGCAGGCTGAGAAGCCAGCCAAGACCTTGGGCACAGTCAACGGTGGCTTGAAGTTCTTTGACCCCACTAACCCAGAGTCCTTCTGGCCAAAGACTGTCCAACTGATTGAGGACTACATTGGTGGTGAGGTTGATGAGAACCGGTACCAGGATGTGTTGCGCCACTACTACCTCAAGAGGGGGTGGAAGTTGTACACCATTCAGGATGTCCTCAAGTCTCTGTGCCGTCTTGCGCTCCAGTGCAATAACCCGGACGCAAAAGGTGAGAAGGCCAAGGAACTAGTCAAGGCCTTCCTTGACAGCCGGGCGCAGAGCGAGACGAGTTTCCAGAATGAGATCAGCATGCGCAAGTTTGCCGAAAAGTGCATCAAGGATGGGGAGATGTTTGTCATTAGCTGGGTATGTTTCCCCTTCCGTGCCTAATGTTTTTTCTTTATTTCAGATCAGCTAACCCGTTTTTCCAGAACCCCAAGGGTAAATTCGCCACCACCCGCTGGCTCCAAAAGGACGAGACAACGTTTTACACGGACGAGATGGAGCGGGTGCAGCAGTGGCAGTACTACATCTCGTCGTACATCCGGATCGAGAACACGGAAGGGATCCCGCGGTCTCGGCTGCAAAAGGTGTTGCTGGAGCGGAACCTGCCCTCGG